AATCAACCTTGTTGTGCCAACAATTCGCATGGCAGCTATATGATATAGTGCACCGATTTCAATAAGACTTTATAATATTATGAGGCAATACTCACGCTTAACAAATTTGCTTAAGATAAGTAAAGAAGTTACCCTACTAACACTTATTTTTCCACCAATCGCTTCAATGGCAACTTTATAAAAAATGAGCCTATATATGGTTTGTTATATTTGTAAACTAGCTCTACGTATGGATAGCACAGATCTGCAGACGCAGTCTGGTGTATCTAGCTGTTAGGGTTCTAAAGTGCTCGATCTTCATAAAGACGGACCTGTGCACATCGATTTGTCGCGTCATGCTGATCATATGCTTATAACTAATTCTGTTTTTACACGATTTTGATATAACACGGTTTGAAAATTAAAAATTTCATATATATTTCTATAGAGATAGGGAACCAATCACCTATTTTCCCAAATGATCAATGTCTTTTTTGTTGTTTCTGGAACCAATCAATCTACCGTGTAAAAACAGAATTAGGTGTACTCGTATATTCTGCCTGTTACATGTATCTGAATATGACTTCTCTTTATTGTTAAAGTCATTACGTCATTACACCGCTAATTTACAAAGATGTCTATTCAAATGCAAACACAATGGGAAGTTTCTGAAATAAATCAAATGTGAGGCTGTTTTTTCGCGCTTCTTGTCTTGTCAAATTAATTATCTTTTCTCTTTCTACCCAATTATGGTAATACTAACTAACACCACTAATATTGAATGCTATAAGCAAAATATGCCGACTTCTGAGTTCACAAAGAATGTATGGTGTGCGGATTGAAGAGTCTAGCATGGAAATGAAATGAATGTTCAGATCAGCTCGTTGCTCGAACTATGTATGTATCAAATGTCCGAGCTATCGAGCACGCACTGTACATTTGTTGTTGTGTATGTAGGTATGTATTTATTGTATGTACATAGGTATGTATGTATGTACATAAGCATGTATGTATCTGTTCCCAGGCAAAGGCAAAGTGGCCGTGGTCGTGGTCGTGACCGTCGCCGATGCATTTGCACAGGTGCTCGGCGAATCTCTAAGTTTCTACACACACACAAACATATGTATGTGCATGTGTGTGTGAGTGTATCAGCTGTGGTGGCGCTTAAATATTGGCTTCCCCCTCTGACAACGCCTGCCCCTCTAGGATGCTGCTACTTCCTTTAGAGCTGGACGCGTGACCTAATTTCGCATTCTTGTCACGCAAGTAAAAGAACGCTCGACAAATAATGTTGATTTGGTAATTACAGAAACTCACGCACGAGCAGTTTTGCCTTAAAACATCAAACTAAATTAGTTTTGATTTAAAATATGTAGATACATGCAGATACAAATACACACATACATACATATATTTAATGGGAATTCGGTCAACTCAGCCGGAAACGAATTTGCAAAAACGATAAAGTAATGCAATTGCAAAAGTATTGCCCTACAGCTAGTGTTCCACTTTTTCAACTTTTTTAGCCCCAAACTTACACATTGTTCGAGTTTCGAACATTTGTCCGATTCCGCATAAAAGCAGAATCAGTTCTTTCCACTTATGTTCTACAAGTTATTACACTCTAGTAGCATAAACTATTCACAATTGGCAGCTACGTAATTCATTGTTTACTATATATGTGTTATAGGAACAATCGGCAATGGAGTGAAATATTAGTGGGGAAAGATTTTGTATTTGAGACTAATAGTGTAGAAAATTCCAAATACATTTGAAGTTTAAACTGTAAAGTCAAATTTAGATAGCTAGCATATATATATATATATATATATATGTATCAAGGTATTATATAGATTTTACGTTAAAATTACGTTAAAAAAAGAAAGTTTGGGAGACTCTTTTGTTTTGTAATGCTATGATTCTGAATTTTCACTTTGATCCACAACAATTAGTAAAGAAGTAAAGAAAAGTACATGAACTTTAAATTATCAAATGCAACTACAGCTAGCTAGAATATAGAAGTATGTATGTTATGTAATATAGCATGAGGTATTTGACGCAAAAACGACTTCGAGTACAAGTATATGTGGATAGCAATAAAAATATACCGTTTTGATGACTCTTTTAAGTTTTGAAGGTATTATGAAAACAGCTTGTACCCTGACTATAGGGATTTTGAATAATTTTGATTTAGGGAGCTTAGATTCTACTTTTCTTGCTGTTGTTGTTGTTCAGTTATCACTTACATTGAGAGGCTGACTGTTATCCTATGAAAAAGTTGCAAAGTTAAATACTGACTATTAGGTGCAAATTAATCAATATTTTCTCATGTTTCTCAATTAAAGAAAAAAAAAACAACCCAAAATATTGAAAATATTTTAAAATCAACTTTAGCTTGAGAGTATTTTAGTTAAGAGAATATCTTTCGTTCGGAGAGTATTCATGCAGCTCTGAATTCCCATAAATCACGTCTAACGCGCGACGAACGTTCATGTCTCCACACTCTCCACTCTACTCTACTCTACTCTACCAAAATACTGTAATCTCAACTCCACTCACCACACACATCCAGCCAGCCTTCCACGCGACTGGGGTAGGAAATCGAATAGACGCGATTTAGGTAAGTCCGTCGTCCCATGCTGCTGCTGTTGTTGGCTCTGCCGGTGGTTGCTGTGTGGGTGGTTGGGTGCTGTTTGATGCTGCTGCTGCTGCTCTCCTTTTCCTCCTCCTCCTCCACCCGCTACTCCGCTCTGCTACTGCTGCTGCTGCTGCCAGCGGCCGTTGCTCAGTTATCGTCCGCTGGCTTATCGACTAGTCGGCTCCTCTTCGTTCACGTTCCAAGTTGCTTAATTTGAATATTGATTTTTGTATTGTGCACGAGTTGTATTTTATTGTTGTTGTTATTGTATTATTATTATTTATTTATTATTTGCTTGCTCGCTTTTATTCACATGTATATGTATGTATGTATGTTATGTATTTATTGCACTGCAGAATATTAAAAAAAAAACACTCACATATATAAAACAAATATACATTTATGTGTAAGCAGAAAAAAAAACGCCTTCAATTTAATTTATTTTTTAACGCTCTTCAAGTTTCAGCGAGCAGGTTGCTGTTGTTGTTGTTGCACCCTTTGGCTTTGGCATCGATTAACAAAGGCAACAACAACAAAAGATTCAAGAGCGCGATTCACAAAAGCGAGAAGTTGAAATCGAAGTCGACATCGAACGCAATTTTATGTTTTATTTCAGTTTTGGTTGTTGTTTTCTGAACGGTATATGCGTGCGTGTGTGTGTTTGTATGTTTGAGCCAACAATTTAATACGATATTTCCGATTGATTATCTAGCTATCTATGTATGTATGTTAGCCTTATTCGATGCGCTGAGATCGGCTCAATTATTTTTGATGTTGTTTTCATATCTATAGTGTGTATTGTTAACATTCTGTGCTGAAGGCCGCTGTTGTTGTTGTTGTCATTAACGTGCGCAACGAAACCAGAAACTTTAGCAGGCCGCCCCAATCATTAATAAAAACATACACATATATGTATGTACATATGTATGCACATTTACATATGAGCATACATACAAATATACATGGATACAAATGTACATCTGAGCTAAATTATGATTGTATGCTTGATTCTTTTTTTTTGATTATTTTTAAAAATGTTTTACAAGACACAAATCAACCGACGACGACTCCACCACACACATACACACACACATACATTATATATAAACTGTTAGAGGCGTACGCAAATAAATTATATGCGTGCTGTTGTTGTTGCTCCAGAAAACGCAGCAGCCGCTACAGAATAACAACAGCAACAACAAGAGCAAAAGCGACAGCGGCAAAGGCAACGCCAAGACACCGTACCAAAAAAATTCAAACAAAAAATTAAATAAATAGCACACGCGCCTTACTGACTGACTTTGTTTGCTGCTTTCAGTGGCACACACACCCACGTGCATAAATCGTCGACGAACAAGTTAAAACAGCGACAAACAAAATAAAAAATCAAAAAATTACACCACTACGATATACGTTTAAAATGCACGTCAGCTGCGCGCGACGCACAAGACGACGACCGACTGCAACAACAAATTGATGCGACAACGACACCGACAGCGACCGCGACGCGAGACGCTGGCAGAGCAAATGAAAAACCGCCTAGTGGCGTTGCCAGTGCGATGTGCAGGTGCAGCATATATCGACCACAGCGCGATACCGATAACAGCCAAGCAGGCACAGCAGCCCACTTATCGATGAAAAGGCAGCGCCTACTTTATTGTAGTTTGTTAATTTAGGAAAACTCATGTTTTTTTAGGTCACGTACGATTCAGTCCGTTATTGAATAATCGAATAATTAAGTTCATTTTGAATGTACACCGTTGTTTGCAGCAATGCGCAAAACAAAGCCCGAAACGCGTTTTGTTTAAGCTGCCTTTGGTATGTGGCAGCGCTGCGCAAATTTCATTGCATACTTTTAGGGCGGAACAAAATTAAATTTGAACCGAAGAGAACGTTAAGATACCCTTTGCCCGGGCCACCACTCAATGCGACACACAAACAACAACAAAGTATTTTGCTGAATCAGTTGTTCGTAGGACAGCAATGTGATGCACCAATTTCGATAAAACTAGATTAGTTTATTGTAAGGCATTATAAATAACTAATAAATGCCAAATTTGTGTGCGATATCGAGTAATTCCTGCACCAAGGGTACCGATTTTGATGTTACTTCGGATGGAGATGGTCGGATATATATGTTCTGTATATGATCATATGTTATATATGTATATGGCTACTGCCCTTACCATACACGTGGTATTTCGACATTCTAGTGTAACATTTCCGCTATGGGATTGGGGCTATAGTAGTACATACATATGTGTAAATAATGAAAAGTCGTCTGCTCATTCACAGTTCACATCAGTTTAGTAATGCACATTAGTCGTGTATTTAGTAAGAATCGTAATATAGTATTAATAACATTACAGAAAATAAAAAAACGTACATAGTTGTTGCGCATATATTGAACAGAATTTGGTTACATATTTATAATTTGTTTGATTGTTGGTTGGTCGGTTTGTTTTTTGTTTCATGTTGTGTTGTGTTCTCCTTGTTTATAGGATTGTTTCTCTTGCTTCGAGGGTGCAGCGTCAAATTGTTAAATTTGCATAAATAAATTACACTAAAACAGCAACGCCGTGCACGAGTTGAGAGCAACAGCAGCATATAGGCTACTATTATATAAGTCTAGCTATATATTTGTATATATATGCATATTGTTGTGGTTTCAGTCTTCGTTTGTAAACCTAATTGGTTAAGTTATTTATATAGATACATATATGTATATGAATAGTAGAAAAAAAAAGAATTATGTTGCGCCTACAACTGAAATGTCTTAAAACTAAGTTCGGGTAATATAGTTTTTTCCGTTCTCGTCATTTTTCAACTAATCGTCGTCGCCGTCGTCATCATCCTCTTCTTCTATATGGTTGCTAATGTGATAGGAAAATGTCTTTATGCTTTTTAGTGTGGCTGCGCGAAATATCGGGCTGTGGGGCTCCGCCCCATATAGTCCTCTGGACCATATGCTGATTGCGTCCGGCGCTTCATTTTTCTTCATCCTGCTGTGTTTGCGGCGTTTCAGCGACTGGCGCTGGCGCTGGCGACACAGAGCCAGACGATGGCGACGATGTCGAGGACGACGAAGTCAACGAGGACTCCAATGTGGCTCCAGCCACATGCGCTGCCTGCAGCTCCACAAATATGTCAATGAGATTGTTGATCCCAATTAAATAGCCATCCTCATGATTCCCCACCTTCCAGGCCGAATTGTGATCGATGTGCAGATCCGCCGGCAGCTCCACTGTCTTCGCAAAGTCGATCAGCCAGACACTAGCGTGGGTATTATCGTGCACGAAGAGTAGCGAGCTCCCAATGACCTCGTGCGTCTTGAAGAACTCCGAGACATCGAGGGTGGCGCGTATGGCGCGCAGGCGCTGTATATAGCGAGGCTGTAAGCATATGCGGTATATATATATATATATAGGCACTATATCTCACTACTCACCAGAATGTGCGCAAAGCCGCTCAAGAACTCTGAGAATGCTGCTTTGATTTGTTCGCGTGACTTGGTCGTTTTGAAATCTTTGGAACTGGTGCCGTCGCTTTTCTTAATGCCCTGCAATTATAGAAAATATAATCATTCTACGAACAAATTGATTGATTGACAAACTGATTGGCTTCATGAAATCATTATACATCAAACTTATTGGGAAACTCATTTCATTCCTTTTTGTGTTCTGTGAACACAGACCTAGAACAACATGCAACAAGTTTGATGACTATAGCTCTTATACTTTCAGAGATCTTTGCGTTCATACAGACGGACAGAAAGACTCGTTGCATCGTGTTTTTCACTAGATGGCGCTGCAAACTCATAATAAATTGACATTTTTTTAGCAGAATCGACCGTAGAGTTCTATAATTCCTCAATTCCGCTGCTTATAACACGGTGGCACCTGATTCGGTGTGCCATGCCATTTGGGTGTTCTTTTGTGGAGCGTGGGGCGAGTGGATTACCACCGATGGCACACAGGGTGTAACAAAAACCAAATACCTTTTATTCTTTTCGTGCAGAGTATAGATTTTTTGCAACAAATCAACAGGAAATTTTTTTCGATTATATTACTTTGATAAAACTAATATTCAATTAATGAGTAAATACTCTTTAATGCTAATTATTTTTGCAATTATTGGAAACTTACCTCGATGCGAAAGCCCAGTGTCGCTGTACTGGAGATGGTCTCGCGCCAGACCATATAGCGGGGCTTGGTGACCGCCTTGGCTGCGTGCTCCTCAGCATTGGGGGCCTGCGCATCGATTTGTATCATCTTGTCGTACATGTCCTTGCGCAGCTTGGGCTTCTCCTTGGCCTTGGACAGCTCCTCCTCCAGATAGGTGCGCACACCGATCTTACAGTCCATGACGCACGGCTGTACATAATCGCTCAGCAGATCCTGCAGCTGCAAGTACACTGAGAAGCGAGGGGTGAGGGAAAATAAGAAGGGCATATCTTAGAAGGAAAAACAGATCGACCTACGCTCGCCATCCTCGCTGGTCACCTGGCCCTTGTAGACGGGCACATAGGGGCGCAGCATGTCCTGCATGAGCACTTGGAAGCATTCCTCCTCCTTGGGGCAGAGCTTCTTCAGTACGGTGCCCGGCTCAGGGCCGGCCTTGAAGTTGCCCTGATGGCCGGCCAACTGCACCCATGGATAGCGCTGCTTCTTGTAGGTCTGAAAGAAGGGCGTCCATTGCACAATATTGCGTATCTTTCGCCACCCGGAGCTCTGAAATCAGGCCAAGAAGGTTGTAAAGGGAAATTAGTGAGTGTGTGGGTGCATACATATATATATATATATACATATATATGTGTGTCTGTCTGTGTGTGTGTGTGGCTGGGCCAGATCAAACAAAGAACGAGCTTTGCGAGCCAATGACGTCAATGCTGATAAACACGCACACACAGCCACGTGCGCATATCTGAGCGTGTATGCCTGTGTGTGTCTGTGTGTGTGTGTGTGCGTGTGGGGGTCGTAGCCGTATCTGTTCTTCCAAACTAGTTCAAAGACCGGGCCTCAAATTGAATCAAGTATAAGTCATTAATTTCATTCGCATTTAAATATACAATCAAGAAATTGTAAAGCGATATAAAACCGATTAGCGTTCGACTTTCCGACTATTTTTACACTCAGCTATACAAAGCAGTCGTTCGAATACAAATACCAACCGCTTACAAACTTTAGATATCGATGTTTTTCCTTTATTCAGCGACCTTTTCACACGATTCTCTCGCCCCAATTCCGACAGGTTATAGAACTTGGGATTCAAACACTTCAACAACAAGTAGAAGGTATAATTCGTGCCAGCCCGGCTCTTGAATACCCTTCTATGGTATATATATATAGTAGTACTTCACCGATTTAGGTGAAGATTATGGCACTATACAAAGCTTAAAAATGCGTAATGTGCTTAAGATATCTTAAACAAAAAACAAAAAGATATCTTAAACAAAAACGTAATGCTACTGAGAATGATTTGTCGATTGATTGGGATCTGGCAGATATATGTTATAGTGACTATAGAAAGACAAATGCCAATACCAGTTTCATTTAGGATATCATAATATAAGAAATAAAAACAGGATTGATTTTACTATTGGGTTTGGATATTCTTTTAATTGTGTGGAGACACTACACAAGTATTACTCAGAAATATATAAACAGTTATCATACTACGAGTGATTCTTGCAGCTTTATAATGTAATTAACTTGTCCTGCACATGGATAAGACAAGTCTACATAATGTGCCTAGCTGTTGTGGTTCAAAAGTTGTCGATGTTCATACAGTCGAACAAACCGACGGACACCTCTTGATCGGGTCGTCTCATTATGCTGATCATATAAGTATGTATGTTCCTATAACTGTGGGCCTGTCATGTCATGTCTCTTTCTGTCTGTTGTATACAATAAAAGGTCAGACTAACTCTTCGCGTACAGCGCGTACAAAAAGGTAATCAAATAAAATTATAATTTAAAAACTCTTTGTAATATTGGGAGACACATTTTTGGAAAATTTTTAGTTTTCTTTTTAATTTCTTCAGACATTTCGAAAACTACAAAAAGTGGTTGGAATTTATTTGCAGATCATTTGGATGATTGTAAAGTTTGACAGGGGAAAGATGGCTTTATAAGCCATTGCTCCCGAAAAAAACATTACCCTCGGTATTAATATTAAAAAATATTATTCATATTAAATGTTGCTACCAAATGTAAATGTAAATGTTGAACTTTTTCCCACAAAATTAGCAGAAATTGTTCTCCATTCGGTATTTAGGAATTCAATTCAATAAAGTAATTCTGTAGTCTCATAAAAGAATTTAGTGCAAGCTCAGTTGTCCATTCAAATATTATAAAATGTTGTGCTACAAGTATATATGTAGGAAGAGTATTCAATGCTTATTTATGGAAAATCGAATGAATATACTAAGTAGATGATTCGATGAATCTTTATTGCTGAAGGTAGACATCTCCATATCTTTGAAAATGTTTAAGCTGCTGTTATCAAAGGAGATGCTGAGAGATCGAGATCACTTATCTAATTATTTTGAGAATTTTTGGATACACATGGTTCGACTATTTAACACTTCTATTCACAGAATTTGTTAAATAATCGGCTGTACTAGAATTAATATGATACCGAATTAAGGTTTGGCATCACCATATTATTAGTATTTTGAAACAAATTTTGGTTACACATGATAAGAATAGGAATAGTTTATTTTAAAAACTATAAGCTTTGCCGCCATGCTGTTCCCATTTAGCTAGAGAAGTAGATGGAGGGGGAAAGCAGAATTCAAGTGCGCATGAGGGAGTGGGAATGCGAGTTTGGGACTCTCTTGCCTTACCTTCTTGGCCGCTGGTGTTGTCGTGGATGTGGACATGGCTTGTGAGGATGATGTCGACACATCGGAGTCCCATTCGGAGCTCAAATCATCGCTGGAGGCATAGCCATAATCGCGGGGCATGGGCACCTCGAGCAACGATTTGGAGTACTGTATATAGCCGGGGCAGAGACTCTGGCCCATGGGCGAGTGTGTGCGTCGCGGGGCATGCTGTTGGGAGAGTCGACGACCACCGGCTAGGCTAGTGTGTTCGCTGCCGCCACCACTACCACCCGTAATGCTAATGATGGGCATGGAGAGTTTCTTTTCGGGAAAGCGCTGCTTTATTCCGTGCGCCTGCGCAAAGGCTAGACTACACTTGCGTGTCTGCATATTGTTGCCCGAGAGCTTGCGACGGAAGAGTTTTTTGCTGGTGGGGTTGGGAGCAGAAGTGGCACCACCTGTGGCGCCTTCCACCTCCTCCGCCTCACTCTCGGCATCCTCGCTGTCCGCATCCGTTTTGGATGCATCTACCATAGAGCCGCTTTCATTGCTATGGGCATGACGACCCGCATCGCTGTCCAATTCCTCCTCATCATCATCCTCCTCCTCGTTGTCGTCGTCATCATCGAAGCGCAGCTTGGCTATATCCTCGGGCGGCACGTCCGGAAAGTGCAAAAGCTTCACTGTTACCTTTTTGCCCGCCTCATTGTAGTAAACCTCTTTGGCGCTCATCCTGTCAAAGTCCTCGTAGATGCGCACTTCCGGTGACTGCGGGGGCGGCGACAGGGGCGGCTGTGTCGTAAGCGGTGGCGGTAGCGGTGGTGGCTGCACCGGCGGCGACTGTGGAGCAACTGAGTGTGCTGAACGTGGCGCTGGCGGTTGCGTGAGTGCGCAAACAGACATTTTACACGACATGTGACGGAACGCACCGTCGGCGCTCAAACCTCGACCACTCGACCCCGTCGTTCTGCGGCATGAGCCGTCCGCGATGGCCAACAACGAAATGGGAGACTCGCTGAGCAAGAGAGGGAAAGAGATATAGATTGTAGTGGCGGACAGGGAGGGGCAAGAGCCGTGCAAGCTGTTGCTGATTTTGTTGCCTTCGCTGCTGTGCTGTGCTGTGCATTTTTTGATTGATTTCTGCGCATTTGCGAACCTGTTCGCGCCTAAACCACATGCGAACCGCACTAGAGATCGCCAATCACCAATCACCGATTGCGATCGGCGAGCTGGCTTAGCAGACCCAATCAGATGCACTACTGTTGCACACAGAGGTGTTAAATAATGCACATACTTGTAGGGCTTATAAATCGTTTGTGATTATATTCTTGAGGATCTCCAGAGGAATCTCTTTTACAGATCTCCAGTTCTTTGATTGATTTTATGTTTATAAAGAGTTACAAACCTATTGAGGTACCAATAATTTATATTGTTTCGTACTTTCATTAGCTTAGGCATAAGCAAGTAGTCCCTCAGCTAATTTTACTGTTTCTGTTTCATGCAGCGTTCGTTTAAATAGAAGCTGTATACAATAATTCAATTCTATATGATTTGCAATAATACCGACTTTGGTACACCTAGCTCATATGATTCAAAAGTTTTCCATGTTCATACAGACAAACAGACTTTTAAACGTGGTGAGTACAGAGCATCAAAAATAGACATTTCAACCAGATTTCAAGAGGTCTTTAGCTATAAATAGATTATGAAAACCATGCTTTCTGGGAAATCAAAATGCTGACGTAAGTTGAATATTTCCCGGTCTGTGCTGAGAGCAGCTTAAAATTAATTGATTACGTTTTGGAAATTGTAAAATGCCAGATTAATAAATAGGCTTAAGAGAAATGAAGCAAACTATGCATATAATTTTGACCGTGAGGACACTTTATGAAGTAAAGTCTTCCTGTTAAATGGTTTGAAAAAGTCTATTAAAGAGTTAAGGCCAAGTCCAATTTAATAATCAATTGTCCACTCAGACGATTAAAACTAGTTTTATTTTGAGCTTGGTCGGAAAAATATAGGCACAATTGTTTTGCTATCCAATTTGTAGCCTATACTTTATTAATTTCATATTAATATGAATTATGAATTTTGTGATACAAAAAGTAATAATAATCCAATCAATAGGTATATATATTACACTGATACGTAAGATCATACCAACACTTATCATCGTGTCGTATCTTATCGATGCTGATATGTTATCGGAACTGGGTCTCATTTATAAAAATGAATTGCTAAATATTTATATATAATATGATTTTCTAATGCAATGAAGTCCAAAGTTTTACATAGAGATATCGTAAATATATTGGGAGTGCAATTTAGAAACTGATTTGAAAGTACAAGAAAGCGATAGAATTGAGACAAATATGGATATGGAGTTTAGCAGCGAAAGAGTTGTTATTCTTTTAATTGGAGACTACCGAGTGTGGAACTAAATTGGCAAACATAGATTCTTAAGCAGAAATTTAAGTTGTTCTTCCGGCTAAATAGGAGCTGATTAAGATTTAGCCAAAATATGGGGACTTGCTGTTAAGAAAAGCAAAACGTCGAGACATATCTACAGAACTGATCATTTGTAAAAACACACACATTGCAGCCTGAGACTTGAAAATCATTTAATCTCAAGAACTTTACAAATAATAATTTCAATTGTAGATCAGCAGGTGTTTGATTTTGAGGATCAGGGTATTCCTCGGCCATTGTTGCCGAGCCTCTTCTCGGTTTTCCGACAGCTTTGTTGTTGCTTGAGGCGCACACATCAATCAAAATTGATTAAATTTATACAAACAAATACAAAAATATATAGTAAGTGTTTTCCAGGTACATATGTATGTAAGCATGTCTTTATACGCATATACATATGTACATGCATATATACTTGTATGTAGTATGTATATCTGTCTAAGTATATACATACTCATGTATATTTAGGCATGCGAGCGTGTTGGTATGCTGACAAAGCCATGTGAGGCGTCTAAGCCGCGATTTTGAAATTTTAGATGCAGCAGCAGTGGCGAAAAAGCAACAGCAACAACAACAAGAATACTGTCACCACTGCTGGTGACGGTGGTTATGACGGTGGCAGCCACAACTGCCAGCAACCACCTTAACCACACAAATAAACAAAAGCAAAAAATATTATAAAATTAAAAAGCAAAAATTGTTAGGCCGGTCTCGCAGAGTAAACCAAAAAAAAAAACAAGTAAAAAAGCTAAAGTCGGGTGTCCCGACTTTGAAATACTCTGTACATATGTTTACAATAATTATAGAAAATAAAAAAAATTAAGAAAATAAAAAAAAAAATTTGATCGATTTTACCTCTCTCGGTATTCGAACTCACGTAAAGGGTGTATAATTGCACATTTACATAGCAATTGCGTCTGTGTGAGTGTATGTATGCCTATGCGCATCAATTCGTGACTGTGTAAGCATTTTCGCAGTCAACCAAACAGCAACATCAACAACAGCCGCGGGCAGCGCTTGAGCAGCGCTGCAGCAGCGCTGCATCAGCAAATATATTTATGGCTATAACTTCTTGTTAAATCGGTCTATCATAATGAAATTTGGCATACGGACACATAATAACTAACTGGGGGTATTTGCAAAATTTTAGTTCGAAATTCCAAGAATTACGGGAGTTACGATTTGCGGGGTAGAGGGGGGAGGGAGGGGAATTCCAAAATATACATTTTCTGCGTATTCACATAAGGCATCTGGGACTAAAATTTGGTGTTCCTAGGTCTTATAGTCTCCGAGATATAGGCGATTATACGAATGGAAAATCGGGAAAACCCCCATAGGGGGGAAGTGGGGGGGAAAATCAAAAAAATAAAACAAACTCGTATAGAATACACACATAACGCATCTTCGTGCAAAATTTGGTGTCTCTATCTCTTATAGTCTCTGAGATCTAGGTGTTCATACGGACGGACAGACGGACAGACGGACAGACGGACAGACAGACAGACAGGGCTAGATCGACTCGTCTCGTCATGCTGATCAAGAATATATATACTTTGTGGGGTCTGCCACGCCTCCTTCTGCCTGTTACATTTTTCAGCTCCCGCAAACCTAATATACTCTTGTACATTTCATGTACAGAGTATAAAAAGGAAAAAAAAACGCATTATGATAATAATGGAAATGGCAACAACAGTAACAGCAACAAATATCAGCTATCCAGTTACGTTGGAGTTTACAAACACACACACACACTATAATTTCTCTACACATTTGACGTCATTTGCAAAAGTTGCTCGGTGCGATAACGGAAACAACAACAACTAAACAATACCAACAAAATAAAAAACTACAACGTAAAACCTTGTGGCGTTGCTTTCACAGGCCCAATATATGGATCATACCTACTATAGATATGCATATGTATATGTACATATGTACCTAAAAAAAAAAACCATATACATATCTATACATGCATGTGTATGTGTTTGCAATATGGCGTCTATAAGTAGGCCGGATCGACTTGGAAATGGGGTCGACATCAATCCAGGCATGGGAACACAGCTGCTAATCAACGGGAGCTCAAAACTCAGGGTTGTTTGACTTGCAATTCGCGAATTTAGCACGTCATGCTAATCGATCATACATATACAATAAGTACGAGTACCTACATACACCTATACATTTATATATTGTTGGAAATGTAACGTAATAGATGATTACTTAGATATTGACTAGATGGGCTGGGTCCGGGTTCCAAATGCCATCGAATCGGTTCTAATCTATTGAACACCACAGTACCCGAAGAGCACATGAAGATTCAACAAATTGTGCTGTTTTCCATATGATGGTATGCTTTCTTTCGAGCTAGTCCTAATCTATTCCAAATTACAATTTATATAGCCTGTAGCGAAAGGGTTAAAGGTAAATATTTGAGCAGCATGACGTCCGTCTGTATGAACACCAATAACTTTTGAACCATAACAGCTAGGCGCACCAAACTTAAATGTAGACTTGCTTATATTGATCCATATATCGCCTCCGTATTTTGTAAAACTGCCATATAACAGATCGGTTGAAAACCAAGACAAGTACGATAACTTTTTTGTTTAGATTGTAGTAATTTTAGCAAGGTTTAGCATTTTTTCTGAGGATTGTGTAATGCCTCATGACGTTCGGAAGCTTCATTAGAATCAGCTCACTATATCTTATAGCTGTCAAGGCAACGATCGGTGCAAAAATCAATCTTAAATCTAAAAAAATTTTCTCTGTATCCGAAGGGCTTAACAAATCATTCAGTTTGTCATTTTCTTCTTCTTCTCAGTATTTTGATCTGTTCGTTACCATATTTTGTTTTGTTATTTATTTACTCTATTATTCCCTATACCCGAAGTTAGTAACAAATCGTTTAGTTTTTTAATTTGTCAGTTGTTGTTTGAAACATAATTAATTTGTTTCGATTCAGGTTTTGAATGCTAGTCTAGATTCTCAAGGAGGGACTCTTCGTTGTTTTAATTTAATTCATTCATTCAGTTTAATTCATTTTTTATTTCTCTTGGTTTCTATTTGGTTTCTTGTTTAAAAACAAACGCAAAGCGTGAAAAGGGTATACTAGATTTGTACAAAATGAAGGAACCCATAGTGTGATGAGACAAGTTTATGCAGCCATGAGCGTCTGTCTGTCTGGATGAACGCCTGGATTGCGGAAACGGCTGAGCACACATTAAGTGAACTTGGTCTACCAAGACCCTACTAGGCTACTACATAAAGTCTATAAGTCTGGGGACTACGCAACATAAGTTAATTTTATTTCCCCTTTCCCCGTTGCAGAATACAATAATTTGTCATTGTCCAAGCATTATCCTCAACAACAAATATAATAGGAGAAAAGACCACTCTTATCTAAAACCAACAACTTAGAGGATTTACTTTATGTTTTCAAAAGTGCGTATTTGTTGTTGTTTATTTTCGACGTAAACATGTTTGTTGAATAACAATTGTATTCAATTCGTAATAATTTTGCTTTCTGCGG